GGGGTTTTGGTGGCAGGGGAGGGGGCTATCGGGGCGGCCCCCTGGGAGAAGTTTCTCGAAGCTCCCCCAGTCAGCTCCACCTCTGCACCAAAACTGAGCCCATCAGCTGCGCCTCTGCCAGAACGTATTTAAGAAGGGACGTGGTGATGGGCAGTGGGACTGGTGAGGGGGAGTTGGGGCAGCTGCGTGAACACCAAGGTCAGTGGAGGAACGGAGGAAGGAAGGAGGGGGGAGGTGTGCCGGAGCAGAGACCCTCCTGTATCCTGTGGGGAGATGGCAGGGCGGCCCCCCCTGCCACCCATGGAGAGCTACGGTGGAGCAGACACTGATTTATGGCCTGTGGCTTCTGCTCAGCTGATCAAGGTTCTGTGCCCGAAGAAGGCCGGGGTCTCATGGGAAAAGGCAGCCCCGCTGCTGTAATTCAGCGCTGGGAGGATTGCAGCATGCGGGGGAGTCCCACGCCGGAGCAGCTTGGGAAGGGCTGCAGCCGTGGGAGGGAATCCAGTCGGAGGAAGTTAGTGACCCATGATGGAGCAGTGTGGGGAACGCTGCGGCCCGTGGGAGGGACTCATGTCAGAGAAAGTTTGTGGAGGACTGTCTCCTGTGAGAGGGGGACCACGATGGGGCAGAGGAAGAAGTTCCAGCAGCTCCCCCCATAGCAGATGAAGAAAGCAGCAGCACTGCCTGCACCCCCCATTCCCTGCCCCTGCGCCACTGGGGGAGGAGGTAGAGATATCGGGAGCAGAGCTGAGCCCGGGAAGAAGGGAGGGGTGGGGGGAAGGTGTTCTCAAGGTGTGGCAATGCTTCTCACTGTCCTGCTCTGTTATGTGTTGTTAGTGCCTGTAATAAATGGATGGGTTTTTTTTCTTCCCCTAACGAGTCTGCCTCTTGCTCATGATCATAAGGGGGAATTTTTTCCCCATCCCAGTCCTATCTCGAACCCCAAGCCTGGCTCTCTGTCCCTTCTCATTGCTGGAGGGGGAGGGAGAGGGAGCTGCTGCATTGTGGTTGGCTGCCAACCAGGCCCAAACCACGACAGTATCCTATTCCCAACCAGGCTGATCAAAGTCACCCTTGTCTTGAACGTGTGGGCCAAGGACACCACCCCACAGTCAAGTTTACCCCTGACATCTTGACCACAGGGGTGCCACTGGCTTTGGGTGCCACACATTTTGTTAGTTCACATAAACGAAATGATGCAATCACTCTCTTCTTCCATTGAGCCTTCTCCATATCATCATATCCAGCCATTCCTATTCAAGTAAAACTATATTTATACCAGACATATAAAATTATTTCCAATACCGCTTAAGGCTGAGAACTGCCTTGTAGGAAAAGTTTGAATTTGTATAAAATCATCTTACCACATATTGTTTTAAGGGATCACAAATCACCATTATGACAAGTCAGCCTAGCATTTCATGAAATGGTAGGTTGCCATCATTTTATTTTAGGAAACAGAACGGAATAATATACTTCGCAGAGTAAATTACAGTAACTGGATTCCAAGTTGCTGAACAACTGAGAAAAAGAAGCATCACAGAATATATACCTGGTGGACACTACTTTAAAGTCACCCTTATCACGGCACAGTTAGCTACTTCAGGGGTGTTCAGTCCTAGTGTAAACAAAGCTGATACAGGCAGTAACACTGACCCAATGTCTTTTTCTGCAAGCAGGCTGCAAAAGCAACACCAGCTGTCTCCAAAATCGCAAATACTTCTACAAACTCTATCTAGCTCAGAGTTTTCTTGCTGAGCAGCTGCTCAGATATGTGCCATCATGGGGAGGACACATGCTCTCAGAGCTCCCAAGAAACTCCGGGAGAGCTTGAAATCTTCTGCCTCCATTTACTGCCAAATCCATTAATCTGTCCTCAACTAAACCTGCAATGAGATTAAAATAATCCCTCAATCATCCTAGCCTCCCTCTTCACACACACAAATTACTCTTCTCTGTTTTACTATTGTCTCTCACATCACTGTCAGCTGCCCGTATCACCTGATACCAATGGCCTGCAGGGCTGTTTGCTTCTCTTGACTTTGAATGCAATACAGAGTAGAGATTGCATCAGATCAACGATACTACCTTAAAATGGCAAAGGTTAAAAACATGAGAGTAGAAAGTTAAACACACAGATGTCTCTGCATCTGCTTAGCAAAGGGACATAAAATACCAGCTAGCAAAGACCAAAAAAGTAAATATGTATTGGTGCCAGGGAAAGCAGAACAGAATGCTAGTGACCTCTTCTCCCCTTCCTGACAAACCCCTTCCCATCTCCTGATGGACCTCCCTCCACGAGCATCAGAAATCCAAGTGTTTTAGAAGGGTACCATGAATCACCAGGAGCAGATGCAGAAGCTCCAGGGGACTGTACCTTCCAGATCAAAAGCGGCTGACATGCTGCAGATGTAATTTAATTTTGACAAACAACTTTATGTACTATGGCCTGTGGAGTTTGCTTATTCTTTTTAAGTAACTTCTTGCTCACATCTACTGCTTGTACAGCCACCAGAGCAGTACAAGTATTCCCACAGGAGCCTACAACAGTCACATTAAACCCTTTTCCCTACAAACCCAAAGGTTTCCCACTTCCACCAGGAAAACAATTTCTCTCAGACTTGAAAACAAACTTAACAGTTTTATAATTCATGCTGCTTCCCATCTAACTATGCTCCTTCTGTCCCTCCTACCACTTTCTTTCTCAAGAGGACTAAATCAAAGAAATAAAAAGTTCAGACCAATGCTTTTTGTATTAATATACAGGCTTGATAATAACTGTATGTACAAGTACCTAATACAGACATAATGTATCCTCTACAAGAAAATCAAATCAAAGAGCGCACTCTAAGTGCATATTTTGACAATAAACTGATCAGCTGGCTGAGGGAATGGATTTTATGAGGTGCCACAGCGAACTAGTCCCTAATTAATAGAGTAGCTCTAGAGGTCATTAAACTTTCTCCTCTGCCTTTAAAGCATAAAAATTGCTCACGGACCTGCTTTACTCTATTAATATACAGTGCATATTTGCTAGCATCTTAAGGTCAGGGGTGCACTCCCCCTCCCGATCGTTCTGTCGGCCAGGCTTTGTTTCGCATTGTGGATTGGTCTCCAGGCACCTGACGTGGGCTCCCTCCAGATTATCCCAAACTGGACCACGCAGCCCAAGGAGACACCTAACACGTGCCAGCTGGGAACGGTCCTTCGGTCCGTAAAACCAGACTAAGTAATCTGCCAAACACACACAGTGGGAACACCAAGTCCCCAGCACCGAGCCTTTCCCCCTACAGATCTGCTCCTGTCGTGCCACGGCACCTGCTAAAGCCAACGCCACAAGCACCAAGGTCACATTTAAACATTAAGCAGAAATACAGCAACAGTCCATTGAACCTCCCTGCTTTCGTTTCTACCCAGAAGTTACCCGATAAAATCTAGCTAAAACTGCTAAGGAACTGCTGCCTTGATAACCTCCACCACTAAAATTGCTAGATCCCCACCTAAAATAAAAGCAGGTAGTATTCGTAGCATTTATTTGTACTTGTTTTTTAAAAGCACCGTATTGCCGAATACCCTACACGATTTGAGAGGGGAAAATTCAACTCTTGTTTGAAGAAATGAATAAAGCAGATAGCTATACTGTAACAGAGGTTTAGATCTGTGAAGAGGCAGAAGAAGTCTCCTCTTCTGGATCCTGATGAGATGCCCTCGCCGTGAGGTCGGCATGCCAAGGAAATGTAAGAATAAGCATATATACAACACTGGACCGGGCCTGGCTGAGATGGAGTTAATTTTCCCCATAGCAGCCCTCATCATGCTGTGCTGGTGAGACCAGCCAGGGTCAGTCCACCACAAACACACCTTAAATAAAAGGATGTATCCCCCCAAAAAGGTTCAATTTAATCACAAGACAGGACGCCTTCGTTTGGACAAAACGTGACTGCAGTACAGAATCTGTTCCAACTTACGTGCCACTGAACACAAGATGACCAACCCGGTTAGCGAAGAAGTGGCATAAAGTTTCATTTTCCTGCCTTGCATTTGAATATATTAATTAAAATCACTTTTCCCTTTTCATAAACATGTTCCCTATTCAAGTTGTGATTTAGTAAAGAAACACATTTGCTCTTTTCATACACCTTCGCAATGCTTATTTATTACTGTAGTCTTACATGTAAAATAAACATCATAAGTCAGTCTACTTACCAAAGCACAAGAATGGCTCTCTTTTTTTTTTTTTTTTTTGTCTTGAGCAAATAGCAAGGACAAACCCATGCAGTAAGCTAGTACATAAAAATTTCTGATAAATATAGCCTTGGCTAGGCAAGGAACACAGCACAAAACCAGGTGGCTTTTCTAGGAGCAGAAATACAGCAACAGTCCATTGAACCTCCCTGCTTTCGTTTCTACCCAGAAGTTACCTGATAAATCTAGCTAAAACTGCTAAGGAACTGCTGTCTGTCTTGATAACCTCCACCACTAAAACTGCTAGATCCCCACCTAAAATAAAAGCAGACAGTATTCGTAGCGTTTATTTGTACTTGTTTTTTAAAAGCACCGTATTGCCGAATACCTCGACGAGAAAGGAGTATGGTCCAAAGGGCAGAAGGAATCGACCAGCTCACAGCAGCAAGACCACCGCACGCACAGACTGACAGCCCCACGCTTGTGTCCGCCTCTGCCTAGCCCCGATGCTTCCGCACAGTCCAAAAAAAAATGTTCAGGGATTCCAGGAAAACTGATGGTTTACTTTAACCGTGCTTTTCTCTAACCTTCTCTTACCTGGCAGGATCATTTATAGGAGTCTCTGCAAGGTAAAAAAAATCCCAGATTCCCCAATTCTCCTGAAGGAGCAGGTAACTTGCTACCACTTTAAATCAATTTTACGATACAAAAGCAACCGCACGATTGGTTTGCTATCTGCAAGGAAAACAAACCGGCGATAAGGTTCACGGTCATGGAAATTCACTGGAGCACATGCGCCAAATCGAAGGGCTCACCTGCTGTTTTCCCAGTCTTGGTCATCCTTATCTCTTTCTTCTTTGGCATCAGAACTGTGTGGGTGTTTCTGCACGATCCGCATCCCACCAGCTTTCACTGGAACGAAAATCAGAGAGACACAACAAACCTCAGTCGAACGAGCGCAAGCGAAGATCGCCTTAAGGATGACCTTCCCCCCCCCACCCCAAATATTTTGCCGACTGGTTTAACAGTAATCACAGCTTGCAAAAGGGGCCCGATGGAAGCGGCAAGCCTGAGGAACAGCGACTTCAGGACCGCATCTGCCGTCCCCTCTCGCAGCGAGCCATCTTTGCTGACCCCCAGAAGGCGCAGCTCATTTCACCACCTGCTTCCAGTACCATTTTAGAAAACTCAATTCTGTTTTTACTCTCCCCCTCGCCCCTACTAAGCTGCAGCAGTCAGAAGAAAGAGAGGCGATGGCTTACATAACACTGTGCAAAAGGCCACAAACACAAATGTTAAACAATCCCATAAGAAGGGCAGAAGAACCTTACCGGTCATTTCAAGTTAAAAAACTACAGCTATAATAATAGTATTTACACAAAGAAGTATTTCACAAACAATATAATAAAAATCAAAGTTTAGGACAACCGTTAACTTGCATTTAAAACAGAGCTTTCTTTTGCAAAACATAAGCATTTACCATCTTTCAAATCCTCGTCACGATTTAGCTTTAGAAATGACGCAAACATGAAAGCATCCCTTTGAAACGCAAAACGAGAAGTGAAAGCAAATCCACTCCCGTTCATCATTTATCATCTCTCCACAGTAAAATATAAACCAGGAGCCACGCCAGGCCTAACACTGCAACTACGGAGCCCGGGCAAGCAGGGTGCCGAGCAGCAGCAGGATGGCACCCAGCCCCATCCCCTGCCCCAGCCCCAGCCCCAGCCCCAGCCCCTGCCCCATCCGCTGCCCCTGCCCCTGCCCCTGCCCCAGCCCCAGCCCCAGCCCCTGCCCCATCCCCAGCCCCTGCCCCAGCCCCTGCCCCAGCCCCAGCCCCTGCCCCATCCCCTGCCCCATCCCCTGCCCCTGCCCCATCCCCTGCCCCTGCCCCAGCCCCTGCCCCAGCCCCTGCCCCAGCCCCTGCCCCAGCCCCATCCCCTGCCCCATCCCCTGCCCCAGCCCCATCCCCAGCCCCAGCCCCTGCCCCATCCCCTGCCCCATCACCAGCCCCAGCCCCTGCCCCAGCCCCATCCCCTGCCCCAGCCCCTGCCCCATCCCCTGCCCCTGCCCCATCCCCTGCCCCTGCCCCATCCCCTGCCCCTGCCCCATCCCCAGCCCCAGCCCCAGCCCCTGCCCCAGCCCCTGCCCCTGCCCCATCCCCAGCCCCTGCCCCTGCCCCTGCCCCAGCCCCAGCCCCTGCCCCAGCCCCATCCCCTGCCCCATCCCCAGCCCCAGCCCCAGCCCCAGCCCCAGCCCCTGCCCCAGCCCCTGCCCCAGCCCCAGCCCCTGCCCCATCCCCAGCCCCTGCCCCTGCCCCTGCCCCAGCCCCAGCCCCTGCCCCAGCCCCTGCCCCAGCCCCAGCCCCTGCCCCAGCCCCAGCCCCTGCCCCAGCCCCAGCCCCAGCCCCAGCCCCTGCCCCATCCCCAGCCCCTGCCCCAGCCCCAGCCCCTGCCCCATCCCCAGCCCCTGACCCTGCCCCAGCCCCTGCCCCAGCCCCTGACCCTGCCCCAGCCCCTGCCCCAGCCCCAGCCCCATCACCATCCCCTGCCCCAGCCCCTGCCCCAGCCCCAGCCCCTGCCCCATCACCATCCCCAGCCCATCCCCAGCCCCAGCCCCCCCAGGCTCAGGTCTCTGCTCTCAACCAGGAGAGCGGTGGGCAGGACCCTCCTGTGTGCAGACTTCACAGCCCGGGTGGAGGCAAGCAGTAAAGGAAAAGTGACCTGCCCGAAGAGAAAGCGGCAGCTCTTTGGCCTTACGATTGTTTAAACCCATTTCAAGCTTTGGGTGATACTCGAAAGACAAATTTCTTGTTCAATAGATGATACTGAAGACAGGCAACCAACAGACAAAACCAAAGAAGTATCTTTTAAAACCTACCAAAACTGTGTCCTCTTACCATGCATTTAAAAAAACAAACAAACAAACAAAAAAAAACCACTAAAACAAGACACCAAACAGTAACCATTTTGTGTTCTCCCTCCAGAATAAAACTTACAGTACTTAAATCAATGAAAAATGTTACACATCAGACGAGGAAAACAAAGGTTAGTTAGTTAGAGGTTAGGCAACAAAGAAATGTAGTTTCAAAAATGAAACAAAAATGAAAATTCCTGTTAATTTTTCTTGATGCAAGCTCCTTAGAAATTTGAGAGCATTTGCAAAAGCAAACACTCCAAGTTCTGTCAAGCGCTGTCTTTTTTTCTAACATCTCAGTTATTCAAAGTGATTGGTATGTTTTATTTAACTTATAAATTTAACATCACTTCACAATCAGTTCTTATTAGTTCCCTTTCAGATTACTTTTTGTGGAAGATGCTGTCTCCACAGCAACATCTGCCAGGTTACAAACAGCATTTCTGGATAATGCACACACGCTTCCACGCTCTTCACCAACTAACAGAAAACAATGCCTGAAGATTTAGTGTGATTTAGGTGGTCTAAAAATCTCTCTCCTCTCATATTGTCTATCATCAGGCCACCAGCCACTTGTTTTCTCTTTATCTGTCACTGGCAAAGACATGCAGCTAACCTATTGAGGTTTGTCTGTATGTAGAATTAATAGGGATTGAAAAGCAAATAACCAGGCAGTTAAAAGGCATAATAGTGACTGACCAATTCAGTATTGTAGCAATTTCACTAATCCAATTTTTTGCACTAATAGCAACAGGCATAGTATAGACAGCTAAAAGTACACTGGTGCATAATTCAGTAATCTTTAGTGATCTAGGGTTACTGTGCAGATCTGGGAAAGCAAAAGAAGAATCCAGCAAGCAACTGCAGCAATAATGTGTATTTCTGAGACGAAAAGTGAAATAATCAGATCAGCATCCTGATGTACATCTCTGCCACCCATGACACAGCATGCTCATACCCAGTCTCATTAAGGGATTTCACTTAAGAAGACAAATACCCTTGCAAAGTAATTCACCTTCCTTTTTCAAAAGGTTTCAACCAAGCTACACTACCTCAGGGTTAGACAGAGAGAAGGAACGATGATTGCATCCACGAAGCTAAAAAACCCACTCCATTTGTGACATTTTCTTGGGACTTACAAAGATTCATCTATCTCTCACTTGCCTAGCGTTTACCACATGACTTGGCCGATGCTTACCACCGTGATTTTGTCATTTAAAAGTCATTCTTAAAAGAGCTCAGAGTTCCCTATAGCAAATCCAGCACAGAGCAGAGAAAGGATTTAAATAACTGAGAAACCGCCTTCCAGGACACTGCCAGAAATCAGTGCCCAGAAGAGGACGGTGTCAGCGACACCGTGTCGGGACGAGGAAGCGAAGCGAAAAGAGAAAAGAGAAGAGAAAAAAAGAAAAGAATGATCTCGGGGTGCAGTTGCTCCGGAGAGGTCAGGCAGGACCTGTGCTGAGGCAGGAGGGGACCGGGAACTGCTGCCCATGGTGGCAACGGCCAAGAGGCCACCAGCCTCTGAACTGTGAAGTAAAGAGGGGATCATCTGCCAGCATGCTCTGAGAAGAGCAACAGCACAAGGCTGCTGGATAAGAGCAGAGTTTGGTATTTTTATTATTTTGATTATTTTTATTATTTTTATTATTTTTATTATTACTAATACTAATAATAATAATACTACCAATACTACTACCAATACTACTACCAATACTACTACCAATACTACTACCAATACTACTACCAATACTACTACCAATACTACTACCAATACTACTACCAATACTACTACCAATACTACTACCAATACTACTACCAATACTACTACCAATACTACTACCAATACTACTACCAATACTACTACCAATACTACTACCAATACTACTACCAATACTACTACCAATACTACTACCAATACTACTACCAATACTACTACCAATACTACTACCAATACTACTACCAATACTACTACCAATACTACTAATAATGCTGCTACTAATAATGCTGCTACTAATAATGCTGCTACTAATAATGCTGCTACTAATAATGCTGCTACTAATAATGCTGCTACTAATAATGCTACTAATAATGCTACTAATAATGCTACTAATAATGCTACTAATAATGCTACTAATAATGCTACTAATACTACTAATAATACTACTACTACTACTAATAATAATAATAATATCTGCCATGTTTCCCCCTTGGCCCCAAGAGGAAGACGGGACTGTCTTGTCTGCCCTGTGAATGCCACCCCAAAGTCCTCTTGAGGGTGTGACTACTTATTTTGGAAATTTATTAAACAACTGTGTTAATCACTTACCACTCAAGATGATCTGGAGTCATTCTCAGGCTATGTATTTCCTTCCCCCCCGCCCACTGCCATGCTTCTTTCGGGCCCCTCCCAGGTGCTGAGGCTGAATTCTGAAGTAAACCCCACTGAGTCACAGCAAGCACCACCAAGCACCCCGAGAGGCACCACAGCCCCAGCTCGCTCGGTCCTGCCCGGGGAATCCTGCCAGCTCAACCCCGATCGCCCGCTGGCCACAGCGACGGGACAGGAACTCTGAGAAATCCGGAGTATAACCAAGACCTTCAGCAGCTGCTTTCCTTAAGCATCGTATTAAATATTAAGACAAAATTTATTTCTTATGTGCCGTATAATAACAGGTTCCATTACATTGATGGGATGTATGAAAAGCCAGGACCAAAGGAAACGCAAAATATGCCACTCTGCAAACTTAAGGGAGCTTACATTAGTGTCTGACAAAACAAGAATGGAAGTAAGAGTTATTATATATCTTTGTTTCACAGAAATCTTGGCTCGGAGCTGTATTTTTTTTTAATGTAGGAAAAAGCACGTATTTTCACGAACCTACTGCAAAGCTTCATAAATAGACTATTAACACAATCATCTTGCTTTATTCCTTCACAGTATCTACTAGAAGAAATGAACAGCTAAAAGCATAATTACGCAGGCCTCTTCAGAGGGACTGCAAGCTGTCCAAACCCACCCAGCAATGTATTATAGATGCATTGAGCTCCCTGACCGATGAACATTTCATAAAGCCTAAGCGGGGGCCCTCTGAAGTTTCAGAAAGGAGTTCAAAGTCACTTCCTGCACCCCACTACCAGCCTGAGGTCCTGAGGTTTCTTTCCATTTCATTATCCTTTGTCTTTTCAAGTGCTTTCCTTGTCTTTTTTTTTTTTTTTTTTTTTTTTTTTATTTTCCCCCAGGACGTGAAAGATCAATGCACAGAGGAAGCTAACAGACTGCACGCAGTCAGTATGAGAAGGGCTAACACTGCGTATGAAAAACAATGGATATGTCAATTCTTCTTTAATTTGATGATCCAAACCCTCCCTGACTTTTCCATCTCTAATTCATACCCAGTGAGGTGAGACACATCTGTAATTACAGGTAGGGCTCTTTATACAACTGTATGCAGCAAAACCAGAGCTTTTAATCCATTGGTCAAAAAGGATGACCCCTATTACCTCTTTGCTTTGCTAGGAACTTGCCTTATTATTTATGAACACCATTCCACCTATATTTATGTAGTCATTTATTTTAAGAATTTTTGACTTTTATTTTATTACAACTTGTTTGCAAACTGTCCTACTGAATTATGTTATTATTCAAGAATCTAAACTGGCTTGAGATAGAGGATTAAAACCTAGCTTCAGCCCCTAGAGTAAGTATAAACTGTTGCTAGTCAGCACATTTGTTGGGGATTTTCCAAGTGTTAAAAGACCACAAGGCCACTTTCCTCTGCCAGCCAGCTCAGAACCGTCTTTTTCCAGAAATGACCTGAAGATACTGTAAAGCATTAGGTGGTTTTGGTTTTTTTTTTGGCCTCAAAGGCAGGCTTGGCGATCGCCTTCCTTCCAAAGCTGAATTGGTGCATTCTCACAAAAACCCCTCAGGGATGCTAATGATCTTAGAAGGCACAGAGCTGAAAAGGCTCCCTGGTTTGTATGTGGATGTCTGTTTTACAAAGAAAAAAAAAAAAAAAAACAATAATACTGACATCCTCCGAGAGCAAGGGAAACCTGTACTGTACTCCAGTCGTGCTTCTGCACTGGGCATCTCTAGCTTCTCGCGTGGCCAACGGAGGCTCACTTCAGGCCTTCAGAAGAATTCCACCAGTTTCAGGTTTTGAAGCCAAACTCTGAACCACGCAACAACACCAGAAAGCAGCTACAAACCATCCGAAGGGGACGAGCCGCCGCTCCATCCTTCGGTCCCTTTCAGTCGACCCGGAGGTCTCAGCCATCCCTCCACCCCGGAGCTGACGCTTCCCTGACCTCGAGGCAAGCCAGCAAAGGCTGCCGGTGCTGGGGAAGGCGTTTTGGTTGGGTTCCCTGCTCCGGCTCACCAGGAGGTCGGGCAAGAGCTAACGCGGGGACAAGGGAGGGCGCGGGACCGGGCTGACTCCACTCTGCCAAGAGATCCGCTTAAACTGCACTGCTGGCCTGTACGTGCCATGCAAGGCAAAGCCATTATTTCTCACTTCTGTGCTTCAAGGAATTTCAGGTCCTCTTTACGAAAAGAGCAGAATTCAATCAAGGTTCAAGAACTGTTTTCAAAGCTACTCTCATCGATGGATTTGAATATAAAGCTAACCACTCCGTGCATTGAGAATTTCAGCATTTTTCGACTGAAACACTTTAAAAAAAAAAAAAAAAATACCCCAACCCTCAACTACGCTACCAGGAAACCCACGAAAAGTTGCTGATGCAGGGACCAAAGTTCCCTTTTTTTTTTTTTTAAGAACACTGTAATAAAGAAGAAAAACCAACGGTACGTGAAGGAACGGGGCAGCCTGGGTGCTCCGAGGAACCCGCCCCGTGCACAGCGGGGAGCTGCCCATACGGATCGGTGCCCCACCGCGGGCGAAACGCGGCCCCCCCCCCCCCCCCCACCCACGCGAGCCCGCGGTCGCGGGTGGAAGGTGCCGGAGCCCCGTCGCCGGGCACCCGGCGAGCGGCTCCCCTCGCTCCCTAACCCCGCCGGAACCGGGAGCGTGGAGCGCTCGCACCGTGACGCCCGTGGGGAAAACGGACTCGGCACCGCGACGCCCGTGGGGAAAACGGACTCGGCACCGCGGCGCCCGCGGGGAAAACGGACTCGGCACCGCGGCGCCCGCGGGGAAAACGGACTCGGCACCGCGGCGCCCGCGGGGAAAACGGACTCGGCACCGCGGCGCCCGCGGGGAAAACGGACTCGCACCGCGACGCCCGCGGGGAAAACGGACTCGGCACCGCGACGCCCGCGGGGAAAACGGACTCGGCATCGCGGCGCCCGCGGGGAAAACGGACTCGCACCGCGGCGCCCGCGGGGAAAACGGACTCGGCACCGCGACGCCCGTGGGCTCGGCGCAGGCCGCGGCGCCGCCCGGGCTCCGCTCCTTCCCCCGCCCGGCCGAGGAGCGGGGGAAGGGAACGCCGCCTCCCGGGGCCAGGAGCTGGAGAGGCCGCAGGGCGCAAACCGGGGAGCCCCTCCGGGAAAAAGCAGGGGAGCGGGTGGGAAAGCTGGGGGGGGGGGGGAACGACCCACGGCCACCTCCCGAGCACGGGGCAACCGCCCGCGGCTCACAGCCCCCGGCGGCGGGACCTGCCCCACACCGCCCTCACCCTCGGGCACCCCCCCCCCCCCGGAGCCCGCAAACCGCGGGCTTCCCGGGGAACGAGCGCCCGACCGGCCCCCCCCCCCCCCCCCCCGGCCCGTCCGCAGCGGCGGGAAGAGAAAGAGCGGAGAGACGGAAACCGGCGGCCGTACCAGCAGGAGGGTGTCCGGCCCGCGTCTCTGCTTTCTCTTTGGGAGGAGAAGACATTTTGTACCGGGGCAGCGGCCCCGCGCTCCGCTCCGCTCCGCGCCGCGGGCCCGCTCCCGCCCTCCTGTCAACGTGGCCGCCGGGCGCCGCCGCCAGGACACGCCCACCGCGGGGGGGGGGCGGGGCCAGGGCCCGCCCGCCCTGCGGACGTGCGGCCGCCGGCGGGGCGGGGCCAGGGCCGGGGGGGCGGGGCGGGGGCGGGGCCAGGGCCGAGGGGGCGGGGCCGAGGGGGAGGGGGGCGGGGCCTCGGGGGCGGGGCTGGGGGAAACTGCCGCCCTGCCGAAGCCTGCTTTTTTTTTTTTTTTTTTTACCTTTTTTTCCTTTTTTTTTTTTTACCTTTTTTTCCTTTTTTTTTTTTTTTACCTTTTTTTCCTTTTTTTTTTTTTACCTTTTTTTCCTTTTTTTTTTTTTACCTTTTTTTCCTTTTTTTTTTTTTTACCTTTTTTTCCTTTTTTTTTTTTTTACCTTTTTTTCCTTTTTTTTTTTTTTTATACCTTTTTTTCCTTTTTTTCTTTTTTTTTTTCTTTCTTTCCCCTGAGCAGTATGAATGCGGTTACCTTACGTAACCGGTTCCTGCAACAGACCGCCCTTACAACCCCCGTTTGGATTGTCATTTGCCGTTTTAGAGGGTAATCCACCTTTTCCTTTAATTGCTATGAGAAAACGGCACAGGCAGCTCACCTGATTCTGAATTACGTGCTTGTACACCTCAAACAACGTTCTTCATTAGTGACCAATTAGCAATTCACACTTTCCGCGTTATTTTGTTCCGCCAAACCGTGTCTGCGCGCAGGGGCGTGCGCAGCGCTCGCGGTGCCCGCGCTTCAGCTCCCCTCACCTTTCCCTTTGAAATCACAGGGCTGATTCACACCCGTTTAAAAAAATTTTTCAGACACTTCAGTTACATTTTCCAAGTGATGTGGAAAAGCACGGAGCGTGATCTCTATATTAATTATATTAGCAGCAAAGTGTAAACCGTGCAGGCTGTTCTGGTTTTCTTTTATAATTTGACAGAAGGAAAGCGAGTCCCCCGGGAGGATGGGTGTATGACGGTTGGAAGCTGACCCCCCCGAAAAGTGCTGTAGTAATACTGAATTCCAGGCATCTTACAGGGAAATTCATGTAGTGATATTTTAGTTTTTTGCTATCACCCTTCATCACAATTACATCACCATTGTCGAAACGTAAGCGATGGGTAAATATACCGGGGTTTTCTGGCAGCAGTCCAAAATATAATCACATCATAGTATCCTTAACAGCCTGCCTGAACAAATGCCATAAAAATGCTGTAACTAAAAGTTCTTGCATTTTGCTGCTGGGTAATTTCAATGTTTTACACATACAGCATTTTAGAGTCTCGGATTGTATTTTCAGCTCTGTCACCCTCTGTGTAGCCTAACACAAATGACTCCAATTCCCTTTCCAGTCTCTGTCAAAGTCTATTCAGATTATAATTTTTCCCAGGGCAGAATTATCACCTAGGTGGAGATTTTAATTCTTCTTTGTCCTCTGGATTCAAATTCAAAGATTATTTTTCCAGTATTCTCGGTTTTCCCAGGTATGTGTGGTTTGGATTTTCCTGTGCTGGTTACCAGAGTCAGTACGAATTTTTGCTGTTGCAGATTTACGCTAAACCTGCTGTTATAGAATTGAAATGAAACAAAATTTGCTTTATGCCATTAAAACCTCCACAAATTAATTTTTTTTTTTTTTTTCTCTAAGAATCGGTGATAATTTCACATTTCAGCGCAAAGATTTGGTATGTGGAGGCGCACTAGGAGGAAGAGTTACATCAAAGACGACGTGCTTTGGCTGTTCTTGCAGAAGCTGGCGGTATTTCTCAACATTACAAGACTTTGCATGTCACCATTAACGCAACGACTTGTATGAAGGCTTGCTGTAGCTCCGTGGTTAAAATGTGACATCGGCCCTGAGCATGCCTCAGAAACGCAGGGCTGAAACGGAGCGTTTGCTGCAAATGCAGCCGTGCTTTGGGTTGGGAAGCCGGGATCTCAAGGCAAACCGTGCTGATGGAGAAGGAGCAAGGACTGGAAGAGGGGAAAAGGGATGGGAACGGGAAAAACCAGGGCGCAGGAGAACTTGGCCGGAGCGGACAAGGAGCTGAGGACAAAAAGTTGAGTAGGGAGCGGTGGAGAGGCGACGTGAAAATCGCAGAAGCAGAGCGAGGGCCACGGCGGGAGGTAGGGAGCATCCTTCCTCAGGCAGAGGAGTGGGAGCCAGGACAGGCTGGGTGAGATGGGGGATGAGAAGCCCCTGGGGAGGGAGGGAAGACTGAAGGTTGGTCAGGCAGGAGCGAGCGTGCCGAGGATCAGGCTTGCAGCAGGGAGAGGGAAGGATCCTCACTGCTTTCCAGAGCCTGGAGGTTCTCAGACCTCCCTAGGCTTGTCAGTACCTATAACTACTTGTTCCCTCAGGCGACAGGGGCCTGTGCAAATGCTAAATTTCTGTGCTCGCAGAAGAATTATATAGGTGTCAGTATGATACCATAGGATAGAACTTCTTTTTCAGTTATTTATTCCATTATTGTTTTTAAAATGTTGCAAGAAAAGTAAAAAAAAAAAAAAAAAAAAAAAATTAAGCACGTAGCTTGTGCTGGTGATCAAGCACCATCAAGCATGAGGAGGTGCCGTAAAGGTTGTAAATGAGATTTCAGTTCTGTGAAACAGTGTTTGTTTCTTTGGCAAATTTAAGGCAACATGCATTTCTCTGGCTAGAGGCAGTGCCAAAATGTTTGTAGCAATGTCCCTCTCCGCTATGCCAATGTACAAGAAATACAGAGGTACCCTTAATTAATGACAGGCATTACAATGCCAGGAGTTGTTTCCAGCAGTCCCATTGTTCGTACCAGCACACGAAAATGGGAGCAACTGTGGGAAACTCCAACAGAAAGCAGGCAGAGTTTTTACAAAAAGCTGGCTGTGGAGTCACTTCCTTTGCCAAATCAACCAGCTTGGTGCTGACACCGCTTTCCCAGAGACTGTAGAAAAAGCAAGTCTATCATGGAAAACTAGAGAACGACAACATCACGAGACAGGGCACTGAAATGCAGCAGCACTGAGAGGGAAGAGGAAATAAATCTGGCTGCTTAAAAGATGTTTATTTCACATTTTAATGTGTTTTGAAGACCGATGGATGTTTTGGAATGAGAGCATTTCTGCAAAGGATTCCACAGCATACCTCTACAATTCATAGGTGAGAACTCATAATAGCCATCTCAAGTGTCTGTGACATTATCCAGCACAACCAAGAAACAGTAATCTCCAGCTACTACACTTTTTAACTAAAAGAGCAAGCGGAGAGAAGCTACGTCTTTTGTGATGACAGTGCAGACAAAAACCCAGCTCCTGCATAAAAAAAAAAAAAAAAAACCACCATACTAAAAACAGGAAAAAAGCCCTTTACAGATCCTAAAGGCTAAGTTTAAAAAAACAAACAGGCAAACAAACAAAGAAACAAAAGAAAAAAAAACCAAAAAAACAAACGTGAAGAGATTAGATGGGAAAGTATGCAAAAGCATGCATATAAAAACTATTTTCAGCGGTAGTTGACCCTTCACAGAACTTTTGACAGTAATATTAGGTTTTTATTTTTATGCTTTATAGCCCAAAGTATGTTCAGTAAGCAGTCTATTTTAAAAATAGACAGTCTGTTGGACTATGATTAGGACACCATTCATTTATGTCTATTTTGAAAATACTCCCCAGTACCCAACAGATGGCTGCAATTTTGGTGCTTTCACGCAGGGCCTGCAGCAGAGCTTTGTGTTCTTTTCTGAAAATACTGAAACGCTAAGAAAAACCGTTCCTGTGTTCAGCACAGGGGGAAATTACAACAGTGCAACCTACGGTCACTCAGCGCTTGAAAGGCAGCTAAATGTTCCACTGCTTGACTTCTGCTGTCGTTCCCAACACACGTATGCACATGCGGGCTTTAAATCCAGGGCAGCACAATAAACTGCTCTGTGTGTAGCTACAGGGTGGGCAAAACTCTCTCAGTGAATAAGTTTTTGCCAAATTTATAGGTAAGCACTGAGTCGATGAAAACTGTCAGCTGACTTTGATAATCCATCCAAAATAGTTTCGCCTGAAAACAGTGAGTTGTTTTGAAAGTTGGGCTCTTTTGTTGCAGCATGTTTTAAGATTTTGCTATTTTTAAGGATTAAAAACCCCTAAGAAACTAAATGATTTTTCTCTCTTTTTTTTTTTTTTTTTTCCCCCAGCCAGTTAAAAATATCGTTTCGCCATCTATTTCTAATCCTTTGTGACATTTTTAGGGTAGCACAATAGTTTCTGAGAAATTATAAACAAACCAAAGTGTTTTCTTTGGAATTCGATCATTCACTTTGACTTTTTGAGTTTGCAGATTTTTACTTCTATACCCACTACTTAAAACACTGGGTTTACAGCCTGATACAGTCACACGTTGGGAAAACTCCCTGACTTCCTACTTCCATGGAAATATGTAAAGCTTTTAGCAAAAGTCAAATAATGGTTGTTTCATTTCTGTCCACTGCTACTCTGCATTAAGGGTGCTGTCTTTAAGACTATGGTTTGTTGGAAATCTTCAGAGAGTGTGTGGGCAGCCATCCGAAAAGGTGATTTTGTTATAATGTGCAGGCCTGAGGAAACAGTTTGCGTGAGAAAACAAGCAAACAAATCTGGGGCAAGGAGTAGCATGTGCTTTAGTAACAATTTTCCACCCTTCCCTTACTGGCTGTTGTTGCACCGACTCATTAAAGTCACTTGGGCTGCCAGTGTTTGCTGGTTTCTCTGTATCTTGATGATCTGATCGAATCCATGTTGTTACTCTAACTGCACCGTTACTCTGACAAAGAACACAAATGTGTATGCTCACTGGATTTACTAATTCAGTTTTTGTGGGAAAACCTATATAATTATTTTTATTTTTTCTTTAGAATTAGAGTAAGTTCCCACTGGGGCAAACATATAAATCTGTTGAGTGTTAAAAGTTACTGAACTGAGTCATAAGGTAATTGTAAAACTCAAACTCTCTTTTATCTCAGTGTTCTCTTACATTTCCTTGGAAATGTTTCTGCTGAAAAGCGTACAGTGGGTCTGTCTCGTCAGAAA